GGGGTAGAGGGCGGACGTTGAGGTGATGGGGCGTCCGCCAGGCCCCATGTGGCCAAAATTTCTCAACCTTCGGGAAGGGATGTGGCTATATATGTGCTCCCATTGTGAGGAACTATCAGCTTAAAAGGAAAGCCCCATTTATAGCGGATACGAGCTGAGAAATTTTCTATGTTTCTCCAATGTAGCCGGAGAAAGATCTGGAAAGATTTGTAAAGAGCCTTCGAAGGAGATCGTTGGGGTATTGCGAGCAGCTCAAAGTATGTCTTCTTTGGTCAGAAAATCCTTCATACACAGGACAATGTCCCTAGGCAGTTTATCGTTAGGTGTTTTAGGGCGCAGGGCTCTATTAATGCGGTCACAAGCAAAGGATCCAGGGTCACGCTCTGGAAGGAGTGATTTGAATAACTTGGTTATGGTTTGTGAAAGATCAAACACAGACTCCGGGATTCCCCTGACTCGTAGATTATTCCTGCGGTTTCGATTATCAAGGTCCTCAACCTGCGCCTGCAATTGTAAAAAGGCTGTTTGTAGATGATCATGATCTCTGGAAAGTTCACCATAAGCCAGGCTAAGTTCATCATGTTTAGTTTCCAAGCGGTCAGTCCTGGAGCCCAATGTGGCTATTTCCTGAGAGAGAACATTAGTGCTTTTATGCAGTTCTGATTGGAATTTAGCGGCTAGCTTGGTGTACATAGTTTCCAAGCAAGACTCCAGGTCTCCCTTTGTAAGTTGCTGTGTATATTCACTGACCAGAGCTAATGAAGGAGCTGTGGTATCCTGCGTGGGATCGGACAGGGATGCTCGTTCTGTATTATCTGGAGAAATGCTGCAAATCTCATGCGTCTTAAGTAGGTATGTCGTGAGGGACTTTTGAGCTTGTCCCCTTTTTTTCTTGGTGGACGGCATACAGGGAGTCTCCTGAGGGTGATCAACTGGAACTTAGATAGCCAAAGGAGATAATAACCCCAGGTGACCTATAACGCCCGAAACAGGATTAGGGTTGTAGTTACATAAATGCTATTGGGCTTATCCGCAAAAACTTTATATTGTAAAAATAATTAGCGAGCTGTGAGGATGTAGAGAGGACATAGGCTTTGGTAGCCACCATCAATAACTCCCAGGAGCAGGATGATGGCTCCAACTCCCACCTTAGGGTCGGAGAGGGACGAGGGACACGTATAGAACAGAGGTCCCCCTATGATGATCCCAGGGCCCTCCAGGACAGATCCAGGGATCCCCGGCACTCCACCAGGGCAGTATATAGGCCTCAGGGCTCAACAGGGGCTGTGGTCACAGAGGAGGGCGGTTTCTGGAGCAAAGAACGGGAGCCCCATTTCCTGAGTCATTGGGGGGGCAGGATGATCAGTAGCCGCCAGCCCCCTTGCCTCCTATACTCACTGTGGCTCGGATGAGGAGGTCCATATCAAGTGGAGTAGGCCGCAGATGCTCGCCGCCACGGGGAGCGGCAATATACAGCGGCATGCCTCTCCCAGACCCAGGGGATGCAGAGGGTGCCTCTGATGTCCTCGGATGAGCCACTGCCACCCGGATGGCAGCGGGTTAACATACGAGGTGCCGGAGTCCCGGATCATGCGGCCGCGCCAGGCCGCGGATGTCCGCCGCTACAGATGGTGGAGATATCGCCTGGAGCCCCTGTCCTAGATACAGGGGATGTCACCAGGGGCCTCCGCTGCCCCATTGTGGTCCGCAGCTGCATGGATGGCAGCGGATTGTGTTGGTCGGCGCCGGAGCTCCGGATTATGCGGCCGCTCCGGTCGCCATCTTGGACACGCCCCCCAGAAACCCCTTTTTTAGCTCATCATACTTGATACTGCTTAACCCCAGGCATTTATTTGGCAAGTACTTATTTACCCATACTTCTTTCTGTTATCTGTTTGCTGTGTTGTTGTGCTCTGTATATTTATATATATATATATATATATATGTATATATATATATATGTATATATATATATATAGGTTACATCTTCTTTCTGCAAATATTTTTACTGCACCCTTTCGACCTTTTGGTAATAAATCTTACTTTCTAAAAGTGTTGAACTGTTTCTATAGCTCCTGAATGTAACTTACGAGTCCCTGCCCCTAAAGAACGCTACTATTAGTATTTAACCCTCTGTATAACCGGTCTGTAGAGATAGCGGGATACTGACGGTTAACCAATCATCCTAGTGTATTGCTGAGTTTCCTCTTTCTCTGTATAAAAAGGAGGTGGTGGCAGTGTGAAGGGTTAATTGCGTAATTAACCTGACCCAGTAACAATCGCATTCAGGCTGCTGGTACGTCGATCGTGGTCCAATTAGTGGGAACATCGGTGTGCAGGGTGCAGCTGGGTGTGGCATTGTTACTCACGTGACAGCGCGGTTTCTAGATTGGCTAGTCCTTCAGTCACAAGTTTGGTGAGAAGGGCTGGGGTCTGACGCCGTGCCTGTCACAGTGTGAACCTAGCCTAACATACAATGCAAGAAGACTAGCCTATAAACCTTTAACTGGTTTATTAGTTTATCAACCCGCACTCTTCACTCCTCACAAGACCTCCTACTTTCTAGCTCCCTGGTCTCCTCCCACGCCCGACTGCAGGACTTCTCCAGGGCTTCCCCATCCTCTGGAACTCACTACCCCAATCCATCAGACTGTCAACCTACCCTTCTCACCTTCAGGCGCACCCTGAAAACCCATCTTTTCAGGGAAGCCTACCCCACCCTCACCTAACAGCCGATCTCCTCCACTCCTCCTACCACTCCATCCCCCACAGCCACTTCCTCCTGTGCCACTATCCCCTCCCTCCTAGATTGTAAGCTCGAAAGAGCAGGGCCCTTGAACCCCACGTTTACTGTTTTGTTACTGTATTGTCTCATGTACTGTCCCCCACTACTCTGTACAGCGCTGAACAAACTTTTTGGCGCTATATAAATACTGTATAATAATAACTATTTTATTAACCCCTTCACGCCGGCCGCACGCAAATGTGCGGCCTCCCGGCGTCTGGGCCTAGACGTCGAGCGGCCGCACATTTGCGTTCATGTAACAAAAAACATATATGCTGAGAGCGCACGCCCTGCGCACTCCCAGCACACATGTCCGGTACTCACGGAAAGGTCCCGGTCTGCTCTTTCGATCGGGACCTTTCCCAATCATGTGACCGCCATGACAATGCGTCACGGCGGTCACATGATCCCTAAACCACACCCAGCGGCGGCTGAAACTCTTAAAGGGCCGGGAGGCACAGGCGGGAAGGGGTTAAGACAGACAGTATCCAAACCTAGCTACAACTGATAATGAAATTCAGTCTGCACAATACAGACAGGGTTAATTATCGCACACACAGCTGCCCAGCCCAACCATAAACAAAGAGAAATATGTAGGATTTTTCATTTCTAGAGTGTCCAAAATAGAGCATCTAAAAAGGTAAGCTGGCAGCTCCCCAGTCCCTTCATAGGAGAGAACTAAGGCTACGTTCACACTAGCCTTGTGTGCAGGCGGCAGAGAGGCGTTTGGGAAGCGTTTTTACCACTTCCCAAACGCCTCTGCCAATTCTGCACATTACAGCACATGGTGCTGTTCTAACAGGAGCGTTTGCGTCGCGTTGCGTCGCGGCAAAACGGACGCCTCTGGTCGAGTCAGGAGGCTTTGAAGCCTCCTATTCTCGTCTATGGTGCCGCTCCGCAAACGCCCTGCCGGCGTTTGCGGTGCGGTTGCGACGCGGTTGCGGGGTGTTTGCGGAGCGGTAACACCACTCAAATGCATTATAGGCGTTTGTGGGGCGTTATTAACGCTCGGCAAACGCCTAGCAACCGCCGCTAAACCGCGCATGCGGCGTTTGCGGAGCGTTTGCCGAGCGTTAAAAACGCCCCGCAAACACCGGACCAACGCAAAGCGTTGGCAAAACAGCCTAGTGTGAACGAGCCCTAAGAGAAACTAAGTTTTAAGTGTTACAGCCTGCAGAAAAGAACATTTTAAAAAAAGATAAGTTGCAATTAAGTGACGTAATATATGAGTGGAGCCTAGTGACATTACTTCCGGTATTGTGCAAACTAGGAATTGTGGTGAGAGGAACCATTTTTGTCATTGGAATTCCATGCCTTCACTGTTTTGCACTTCGTGAGTGGATTTTAATAGCTTAATAAAGGAAATCTTTTTTATGGCGTTGCACTATGATTTGACCTCTTTTCCCCTGAGCATGTACCATTCCTGTGGGAAGCTGAAATCTGTTCTCTTATAGGGCCAGTAGCATGGAAATAGCTACTAAGGGATAGCGGTGGACAAGCAACTGATATACCAATGTTTAGTACTTATGATCCATATAATATATCGGTCAAAGAAGACGGTGAGTGCATGGCACACTTATTGGTGATGGGAAGTACTTCTGTATATGTTGGATGAAGTGAATACTTTACAACACTGTTGTGGAGCACGGTGTGTTTTGCTGTAATGTGAGCGTATTGGTTCTGTGTTACGGACTTAACCCTTTGTCTGCTGGAGTCCTCCCATTCTGTAGTGTGTTCTGCCCTGTGTTATGGATTTAACCCTTTGCCCACCAGAGCTCTGCTATCCCTGACGTGTGCCAGCCCCATGTTGCGAACTTAGCCCTTTGCCTACCAGAACTCTGGTATCCCTTTTCGATAAAAGCCTTGTGTTCCACCCACCACAATAACGTACTTTTTCTTCTTCAAATGTCATTAAAATGTAAGATAAGCATTTAAAAACCCCTTTGAAAGGAAATATGCTTTACTCCTTAACTTGTTGCCGACCGCAGATAGCCGAATGACGGCTGCACTGCGGGCCGGCCAGTTCTGAGTGGACGTCATATGACGTCCCCCCAGAACGCGCTCTCCTGCGCGCCCCAGGGGGCGCGCACCCGGTGATCTCCGTGATCGCTGTGTCCTAAGGACACAGCTGATCACGTGATGTGGTAAAAGGCCAATCACAGCGGCCTTTTACCACCTGATCAGCGGTGTCCAATGACATGCTGATCAGAGGGAAATGCAAGTGCCGGTTCTCGGCTGCACTTTCCTCACGCTGTCAGATCGTGAGGAAAGTACTGCCGAGAACCGGCAGTTGTCAGAGCGGGGATCGGCACCGATCATCAGGGCACTGAAGATCAGTGCCCTGATGATCGGTGCCCAGCAGTGCCACCCGCAAGTTCCACCCACCTGTGCCCTGCAGTGCGCCCACTAGCTCCGCCCACCTGTGCCCAGCAGTGCACCCACCTGTGCCACTCTGCAATTTCACACACCTGTGCCCAGAAGTGCCACCTACCTGTGCCCAGCAGTGCCACCCACCTGTGCCCACCCACCTGTGCCCACCAGTTCCACCCACCTGTGCCCACCCACCAGTGCTGCCCACTAGTGCCACCCACCAGTGCAGCCCAGCAGTGCTGCCAGTCAGTGCCACCAGTCAGTGCCCAGCGGTTGTGCCAGTCAGTGCCGCCAGTCAGTGCCCAGCAGTGATGCCAGTCAGTGCCGTCTATCAGTACCCATCATTAGTGTCACCTATCAGTGCCGCCTATCAGTGCTGCATATTAGTGCCACCTATCCGTGACACCTCATTAGTGCTGTCTATCAGTGCCGGCTATCCGTGCCACCTCAGTACTGCCTATCAGTGCCCTTTAGTGCTGCCTATCAGTGCCCATCAGTGCCGCCTATCAGTGCCCATCAGTGCTGCCTCATCAACGCACATCAGTGAAGGAGAAAAATTACCTGTTTGAAAAATTTTATAATAGAAACAAAGAAACTTTTTTTTTTTTAATTTTTGGCAATTTTTTATTTATGGCGCAAAAAGTAAAGAGCCCAATGGCGATTAAATACCACCAAAAGAAAGCTCTATTTGTGAGAAAAAAATGATCAAAATTTCATATGGGTACATTGTTGCATGACCGAGCAATTGTCAATCAAAGTGCGGCAGCGCTGAAAGCTGAAAATTGGCCTGGTAAATAAGGGGGTATAAGTGCCTGGTAGGCAAGTGGTTAATTAAAATATAAATAAAGGGAAAAATGGATGATCAATCAGGATCCTTTCATTGCAGAGGAGACACTCCCAGCTTAATTTAGATTTTTAAAATTTAGCCTGCGTTCCAGGATAAATGAACTCCCAAGAATGCGCAGGAATTATGTCATGTCATGCCTCCTAATTAGGATGGCAGAAGACTGTTACCTGCAAGAAGGCATTGAGAAGATGCCAGCAAAAAAAATGTGGGCTTTATAACATTGTAGCTGATGAAAGTGTTGCAAATTTTTTTCTTCTGCTGTAAATCAACCCCACACTGTTAAATTAACTGAAACGTAACTATTGGAAGATTGGTAGCACACCTCATCATTTTAAATATTAGCCATAATTATATAATTTGGTGCATAAAAAACACTTTTTTAACTACTTGCCCTCCTGAGGATTTACCCCCCTTCCTGGCCAGACCTCTTTTTGCTACTCGGCGCTGCACTAATTCAACTGATAAATGCGCGGTCATGTAATGCTGCACCCAAACGAAATTTACGTCCTTTTTTCACACAAATAGAGCTTTCTTTCAGTGGTATTTGATCACCTGTGCGCTTTTTATTTTTCATGCTATAAACAAAAAAAGACTGAAAAGTTTGAAGAAAAACAATATTTTTTATAGTAGTAAACTCAAAGTTAGTTATACATTTAGGCCAAAATGTATTCTGCTCCATGTTTTTGGTTAACAAAATCCCAATAAGTGTATATTGATTGCTTTTTGTGAAAGTTATAGCATCTACAAACTATGGTATAGATCAGGGGTGGGCAAACTTTTTGACTTGAGGGCCGCAATGGGTTCATATATTGGACCCGGGGGCCGGACCAAGAGTAGATGAATGATGTGTATGTGTCATCCATAATAAGTATAGTAATATTCCCCCATAGTAAGCATAGTAATTAATCCCCCATATAGTAATTCATCCCCCATATAGTAATTCATCCCCCATAGTAATTCATCCCCCATATAGTAATTCATCCCCCATAGTAATTCATCCCCCATATAGTAATTCATCCCCCATAGTAATTCATCCCCCATATAGTTATTCATCCCCCATAGTAATTCATCCCCCATATAGTAATTTATATCCCCCATATAGTAATTCATCCCCCATAGTAATTCATCCCTCATATAGTAATTCATCCCCCATATAGTAATTCATTCCCCATATTAATTCATCCCCCATATTATAATTCATCCCTCATATAGTATTTCATCCCCCACAGTACTATTCCCCCCCAAGTAGTAAGCCAAGTCCCCCCTGTGTCAATTCACTTACCTCAGCCTAGCTCCCCTCACATTCCTAACGCTGCCCCGCCTACACACATTCTGACAGCCGATGTTTGCCACGCTCCGCGGGCCGGATTAAAAGGTCCGCCGGGCCGTAGTTTGCCCATTGCTGGTATAGATACTGCAATTTAGGCCATTTTTTTGCTATACAGCTCTGCGCTAGTTTAACGGACAATTGAGCGGTCATGCAATACGGTACATAAATGAGATTTATGTCCTTTTATCACACAAATAGAGAGCTTTCTTTTGGTGGTATTTGATCACCTGTGCACTTTTTATTTTTGGTGCTATAAACAGAAAAAGTTTTGAAGAAAAAAAAATGTTTGAAAAAAACGATATTTTCTCATTTCGGTCATAAAAAATATCCAAAGAAAACTAAAATTTTGTCATAAATTTAGGCCAAAATGTATTCTGCTACATGTTTTTGGTTACAAAAATCCCAATAAGTGTATATTTATTGCTTTGTGTGAAAGTTATAGCGTCTACAAACTATGGTATAGATAATGGAATTTACACAGCTTTTACTTTCTGACTGCCCATCACATTTCTTGAGGTGCTAAAATACCAGGATAGTGCAAAAACCCTCAAATGACCCCTTTTCGGAAAGTAAGCACCCTAAGCTATCTGCTGAGAGGCATATTGAGTCCATGGAAGATTTAATTTTTTTCCACAAGTTTCTGGAAAATGACAATTTTTTTTGTTTTTACACAAAGTTGTCTTTTAAATTATTTATTTCTTGCACAAGCCATGGGTATATGTGGAATTACACCCCAAAATACATTCTGCTACTTCTACTGAGTATGGGGATACCACGTGTGTGAGACTTTTTGGGAGCCTAGCCACATACAGGAGCCTGAAATCCAATAACCGCTTTGAAAGCCTGAAGGTACGTAACTTCCTCATTACACTTCCTCACTACCTATCACAGTTTCGAAGGCCCTGATATGCCAGGATAGCACAACCCCCCCCAAATGACCCCTTTCTAGAAAGTAGACACCGCAAGGAATTTAAAAAGAGGCATGGTGAGTATTTTGCAGATCTCATTTTTTCTCACAAGGCTCAAAAAAGCAGGGCCCTCGAACTGCTTGTGTAGTGTATTGTTACTGTCTTGTCTCATGTTATGTCCCCCTTGCTACTGTACAGCGCTGAGCATACCCTTTGGCACTATATAAATACTGTATAATAATATAAAAAAAATAGAATAGAAAAATTGTTTTTGTTTTTTTCTTCATTTTCCAAAAACTTGTGGCAAAAATGAGATCTGCAAAATACTTACCGTGCTTTTTATCAAATTCCTTGGGGTGTCTACTTTCCAAAAAGGGGTCATTTGGGGGGTTAGGTGCTATCCTGGCATTTCATGGCCTCCGAAACTGTGATAGGTAGTCTGGAAGTGTAATGAGGAAATAAAGCCCTTTAAAAGCCTGAAGGTGCTTATTGGATTTTGTTGTCCTGTACTTGGCTAGACTGCCAAACTGTCTCTCACATGTGGTACCCCCATACTCCGGAGAAGTAGCAGAATGTATTTTGGGAAGTAATTCCACATATACCCATGACATGTGTAAGCAGTAAATCATTTAAGTGACAATTTTGTGTAAAAAAAAAAAATATATACAGTATATATTTTTTTGTCATTTTCCAAAAACTTGTCGTAAAAAAATAAATTCTTCTATTGATTCAACATGCCTCTCAGCAAATAGTTTGGGGGTGTCTACTTTCCAAAAAGGGGTAGTTTTGGGGGGGTGGGGGCATTCTATGCCCAGCATTAGAAGTTTATGCTACACATCACTCACTCTTCTAACCACCTGAAGACCAAGCCTTTTCTGACACTTTTTGTTCACATGAAAAAAATCAGTATTTTTTGCTAGGAAATTAATTTAAACCCCCAAACATTATATATTTTTTTTAAAGCAGACACCCTAGTGAATAAAATGGTGGGTACTACAATGTTTTATGGCACATAGTACTTGCGCAGCGATTTTTCAAATGCAATTAAAAAAAAGAAATACACGTTTTTTACTTTTAATGCACAAAAACACAATATATTGGCCAATTATTTGGTAAAATATAAAAGATAATGGCATGCCAAGTAAATAGATACGAAACATGACATGCTTTAAAACTGTGCATGCCCCTTGCAATGATGACAAACTGCAAACATTTTTAATATCCATAGGCAACGTTTAAAAGCCTTTAAAAGCTACCATTTTAGATTTACAGAGGAGGTCTAGTGTTAGAATTACTGCCCTTGATCTGACGTTCACGGCAATACCTCACATGCATGGTGCAACCGCTGTTTACATACCGGCACAGGGTCAAGGCTTGTGCACACACAAGGTGTGCACGCATGGGAGGGGCGATTTATTTATTTATTTTTATTTATTTTGAATTTTTTAAATTATTTTTACATTGTACCTTTCATTTATTTATTTTTTTTATCACTTTTAATTCTATGACAGGGAATGCAAATATCCCCTATAACTTCAATTGGCATTTTCATATATTCTTTTTTGAGAAATCTGGGGTCTATCAGACTCTGCATATCTCCTCTGCCCTTACATTATCTAATCAAACCAAAATCGGTGTGATCAGATGCTTTCCCAATTTACAAATGCTGCTGTTTATATCCTGCGAAAATGAAGTGATGAAATGCTTGTAGCTTCCGAATTCTTAGACTATAGAGATGATTGGCACCCCTCTGGTCTCCAATCAGCTCTATGGTATGCTGGTAGAAACACCGGCTGCATTCTCAGGTTCCCCCGATGGCACGAGACTGCCCAAGAAGGCCATGGAAGGCAGCAGGGGAGGGGGGGCATCATCTCCCGCTGCTTGTAAAAGCAATCCTGAAGCTAATTAGCCACTAGGATTGCTTTTACATGAAAAAATGATACTAGGATGATGCCTGCAGCTGTAGGCATCATCCTGGTATAACCATTCAAAGTCCAGTGATGTATCAGTAGATCGCTGGTCCTTGTTGGGTGTATATGCTATGTTCTTTTTTTTTTTTTTTGTATGCACCTTGTGGACTGAATGAAAAAAAGAGAAGAAATCTCTGCCAGAAAAAGTGTGTGGTATGCACACCATTAGAATACACCGCCCTGCATCCACCCACTTCTAATGGTGGGCACACATTAGGTCACACTTTGCCACATGTGCCAGTTCCAAGATTAAACAAATGTCTAAATAGTGGCACGCTTG